CTTGTTTCTGTCACAGCAGATTATATAACAATACTTACAAACCATAATCATTGTTGACAGTAGTACACAGGTGGTCTGGGCCTCTATTAAGTGACACTACTATGTGATATTAGAGTTCAGAAACTATCTAATTGTAAAATGTAAAAACAGTGGCCCAACAATGATGGAAATTACACAGATTCTTCTACTTTCTGCAAAAAAAACGTGGCTCGTTAGAGATGCAAGCTCTGAACAGTTTTTACCTTATGACACAGGACAGTGAATCCCCATGAATGAATGTGGTCCACATTCCAGTTGAGTCTAATGTGTGGCAGCAAGCTGTTGCACATGATGGGAATTTAATATGACTTAAAAGAATGATATTATGATATCAATATTCATATGAAGAGGTTGTAACTGACACTAATCAGTCATCTATGATGTTATACTGATGCACATCATTGAGCTACTCCACTGACAATTAAACGAAGGGTCACTTATTTGGATTAATCCTTATGGGAGTTGCAAAAATTTGACTTGTAGATGGTTAAAAACCACTTTGTGGAACACAAATCCTAAGTTGTAATACAGGTCTGTCTTATTCAGATGTTTGTAGACATGTGTAATCAAACCTTCTACAGCCTCAAGATTTGTAGAAAAGTCACAGTTAAGTAACCACCTTAATACCAAGAGCTGAGACAACACATTTCAGAAGGGAATAACGTCTTCAATTATTACATTATGCCATTATGTAAACAAAGCCTGTAATGGTGCGTGGTATTTCAACGGAGGGCGCCATAAAGTAATCGCCAGTGTGAGAGTCCTTCTTCCACCCTTGACTTATTAAAGATCACGTTTATAATCAAGTTTAAAGGACGTTACATTTTCAACAAGGCATAAATGATATTTTCTTAAGTAAATAAATGGTAAGATAAGGAAGGGAGCAGGATAGATGAGAGAGGCATTTTTTTTTTAACACTACCATCAGGCTACGGCGTTTTATTCTGCCAGTGTTTGTGTCACAACACTGGAGAGTGTTAATAAAGCATTCTGAATCACCACCTGGCCTTGTTGTTATCCAGACACACCCATTCCCTGGAGAAGCCCAGACCTGTTGAGAGAGACATACAACACCGCAGGAGATTGAGTAGGTGTGGCAGCGCCTTGTCCTGATAGATTAGATAAATAAATAGGCAGGCAGGAAGTAAAGAAAGGGGATAATGACAGGAAAGCAGGAATTCTCCACTGGAGATGAAGGGCAGGTGGATGCCCATACCACTAAATGATAGATGAGTGAATGGGTGAGTACATTGAAAGACCCAATACCCATTTAATTTTGAAATTAAGTTGAATTGTTCTAAGAGTAGAAATCAAACCTGATTACAGACATCCAACTCTAAGAAGAACTTAATTTGTAAGTCCAGAGAACATACTAAAACCAAGTCACGTCTGTAGTTCAAGTAAGTAAAACAAGCTTTAGTGAAGCAGTGGTGCTTTTACACAGACGTTTAATGTAATTACGCGGATACTTCAGTTAATTTAACGGCGATACCGCAGCCTGCCTTTTCCTACAGTTAACGGTATAGGTCAGCAGCCTGACTGCGACCTCTTTGCTTCTGAGACATGCTGAAGAAAACAAGCTGGGGAAACGGTGAGGAGAAAAGGTTATTTCTACAGTAGGCTAAGTTATGTGTAACAACTTGTCCTTACGGAAGAAAGAGGTGGAATTTCACCAACTTGTTGTGTAACCATTAATCTCCTTAGTATTGAATCATGCCAAGCCAGGACAAAGACACAGTGTTAGGAGACTGTGTTTCCCTTTTTAAGTCAATTTGCAGTCAAGTGTTTGTAATAATTGCAAGACAAATGCTGCAGCCACAGGGAAACGCATCTAATAACCAGCAGCACTAAGCTAGAATGATGTCCAAAAATTCCCAAAACATGACAACTTTGTAGAAGAAATATTTGTGTTGAAATGTTGAGTTTAATTGAATATGGGAAAAAACACATGGTCTATTTCCAGTTATGATAGCGTTATTGGTATTTTTATAAGCATACCCTTTGTTGTAAATATAGAGGAAAGAGTCATATTCATCCATGGTTCACTCCTGAGTTGTCTAATTTACTGCATGGCAGACACAACGTCTGGGGCAAAAAGTGAAAAAGACACAGTTTGAGTCAATTTTAGGCAATTAAGGAGCCAAAGGACAGGTGGTCAACTTTTTAGAATCTATACATGGAATATTTTATATCCTTGATAGTCCAAGAAGATTGTGGAGAACCTTTAAGTCTTTATTTGCTCCAATGAGCTGCCTCATTCAAGGACGTTATGGTGTCTGACAAATCTGCTATGTTGAATTGTATCCTTTTACGCCCTGTTACTGTTACTCTGGCACTTACTGCCTGTGGATGTTGATGTTTTATATTCAAACCATTTTTTTTCCTGAGCTACATGTTGTCTAGATACAAGACAACCTGCTGGGCTGATATTTAGAGCCTTGCTTTCTAAAAGTTGCATCAGATTTAATTGTTTTACCTCTGGGAAAAAACATTTTAACTGTAACCTGTTGACTAATGCAAATGTCAAATCTCTGTTAACAAAGGAGGAGGTGAAAGTCAGCGCTTTAAATAATTTCAGGCTTATCCCTTAACACGATGATTTAGATTTCACAACATCAGTGTCAGCCATAAACCAATGTTTCGTATGAAAAAATACTTTTAATTGTGCTATTTAGTCTTCTTTCCATTTTCGGTTGTTATGATGGGCAGTTTTTAAGTCTGGCAACTTGGGCCGAAGGCCATATGGGAGTACAAGCCTGTTACTGTCTGTCTTTATTCCTCCACTCCAGTGAATAGAATGACGTCTTGTTTCTAACAGTCTGGAAATATGAGAAGATGATCACATGACATACGGGTTTGTGTGCATGGATGTGTGCCACCTGAACCAGTAGAGCTTTGTGGTTTATATGTCCTGAAAATTTGTGACACTGAACAATAAAGCTTCCAAAAATTTTAATTTTACATCCTGCAACAACTCTTTTTATATTGTCACACAAATTTTGATTTCAGTCCTTAGTTTTTAAATGTTTAAGCCTCTGAGTTAGTTGGAACCTGCATCACCAGTTGTAGTAGCAGCAGCAGCACTGAATGAACCCTCTGTCTTAACTCAGCCTTGTTGTGTGTGAAACTGGAAACAATGGCTATCCAATGAGACAAGAGCCATGTTCCTTAGTTCTGAGCCACCGTTAGAGGGGGAGGCAAAAAGGGAGGAGGGAAGAGGCCTTTTGTGTGTAGTTGTGTGCTTGCGTGTGTGTGTAGGAGAAATAAAGGGGGAGGTGTGTGGAACAATGTGGAACGATGTGCGTTTGTAAAGCAGAGAAGGGTAGATGTGTGATTGTGTCTGTGTAGATTAACGTGTTTGTTTTGTAGTTGTGTGTTTGTGCATGAGAGAGGTAGTGTGAGACAGGGGTAAAGTTTGTATAATTAGTCTGTTAATCCAGTTTTGAGCAGTGTTGGAACAGTGTAGAAGTTAGGAGAGGCCTGTGTAGTGAGACAGAGGTCAGCGAAACGGCCATAACTTTGGTTAGCCCAGGATAGAAAAGTAAATCCACCTGAAAGCTTTATCTCTTCCTCCTAATTCATTTTCTCTCTTAGTGGTTCCCCTTGTTCCTTTCTTGGCATGGCAGTCTTACCAAGGTAAAGATCCAGGGGTGCCAGACTGGATGAAGGCAAGGCAATACAAAATGTTTTTTTTTCTTTCTTTCTGAGTCATTTCTATTGCTTTGAGAATATGTTTAATTTGACCTCAAAACCAGGTCTTGTCTATTGAGTTGGCTGTGACATCATTTTGTCTTACGCCTCTCATTTCCCGGTCAGTGTGTGTTTTTTTGCGGGTATGTGTCACATGAGAACATGCGCATAGCAAATGTGTGTTTGCATGTAAAGTCACACTCTAAAGTACAGCCACACCCTGCTCATTATGTTCTCAATTACGTACCCAGAGGAAACTCTTCTCTATATAATGCGATGACAGCCATGTTCACTGTTCATCTATGATGATGATAGCCTACATATTTCCTCTTTTCATCCCATTTGCCTCCTGCTTTTTCCACATCAATAACTTTTATTGAAGATATAACCTTGGAGTAGCCCATCTCAAGCACCAGAGGGCAGGAGAGAACCACTCTGAAATTGAGGCGACTTCACTGGGACTTGGTAAATTTTTATGTCTATTAACATCAACACAGTGAAGTTTGCTTTCCTTCCATGTATAAGACAGCTATAAGCAATTGTTCACATTGCACATTGAATATATAGATTATATAATCTGCTCTATTTTTTTCTTTTTACATGTGTAAACATGTGTACATACCTACTTGAGGCGTCATCACGGTATAAAGAAAAGTCCTTAGTCTATTATATTATATTCTGTTGGAAGGGGCCTGACACATCAACACATTGTAGATTGAGGGTACATCACCATCTTTGCCAAAATTAACGTTTTATAATCAGAAACCCCTTCAAGAGAAACACTGTTACCTTTCTTTTTACCCTCCTGGCTATTTTTTCTCCTTTGTGTCATCTCTGTGCTCCCATATCTGTAAACAGTACATTTATAGTGACTTATCAAAGTTTATAACTTTTATGTTATCACTGCAGGGACTCACACCCTGCGATAAGGTTATGGCAACCTTTATGGCACCTTTTAATCTCAGTTATCACTTCTATATTCTTTGGTATCTCAGGTGCGTCTGTTGTTCCACAACAATCTTGGGCATGTTTTAATATCCTGTGGCAAAACTTCTGCACTGAGACTTGTGATACTTTAAAAATGTAATACGGGATTGCTGCAGCCCGTTGGGTCTCTCTGGCGCTCTCCTCTCTCTTTCTCTGTGCATGAGTTTGGAGAGGCTGATCTTGCGCGTAAAACATCCCTGATATTTGAGGCGCTCCAGGGATTTAGCGAGCATGCCCAGTGCGCCCCTCTCAGCAACAGAGGAAACCACTGGTGCAGCATAGGAGTCATACCAAGCATAGCCTGCGTGTCAGTGCAGTCGACTTACAGCTGGCTGTGAGGAGAACTGGCGCTACTCTTTGTTTTGCTCTCTGTCACTGCGATACATTTACCTGTATTTCAAAAAAGTAAAGTCGTTAGAATAACTGAAGTGATCTGGTGTCGATCCTCTCCGCTGGTTTTCATTTTATTAAAGAGACTTCTAGATAAATCAAAGTTGGAGGCTGGGCCTTTAGCTTTTTGACCGTCGTTTGAGAGAAGGAGAAAAAGCTGGTATTTTTTTTGTTAAAACTCGATAAATGCTACTAACGAAAATGGACCTGTTGAACTACCAGTACCTGGACAAAATGAACAACAACATTGGCATTCTCTGCTACGAAGGTAAAGTGAAAGGTTTGAGGGTGTTACTACGGTTGTTTCTAAAAAGCTCGGCAGTGGCCGTTACGCCGAGTTAACGTTAAGTTAGCGACGTTGTTGGTCGAAGTTTTCACTCAAGTTACTTGCGGTAGCCTAGCTGTTTTTTTCTGCACGTATTGCAGAGAAAAGTTGTAGGATTTAATACACGTTGATTAATTGAATTCCTACGCAACTTATGAATAATGACTTCTTTAACTGGTTGTAACTTTTTAACGTTTTGAGCGTAACGCCAACATACGTTATTTTTCCACAGAACGTAATTTACGTTAGCAACGTAACGTTAGTAAATGTAGTTAATAAAGCGTAAATTTTCACTTTTACCTAACGTTATTTGCTCGTTATCTGAAAAACTGCATGTTTATAAGCTTGTCTCTTCATTTTTGAAGAAGACCTGTCTAATGATTGAGGCCAAATGCTGAATAGTTCAATAGACTGGAAGCCATGTGTGAATGGCTCTCCTTTGGCTGATTCACTCTGTTACTAGTTCGTTGCTCATTTATTCAGACTTTCTGCTCTCTTTTATTCATACCAACCTCTTGCATTCCTATCGTTGTGATATTTGTGGTTAATTGTCTGCCTGTAAGTTAGTTGAATCAGATTCTGACAAAGTCTCAAGGATTGACACAATATGTTTTTTAGTGATTTGAACCCAGCACAACAAACTGCTTTTGCATTTTAAGATAATATGTGTATTTGTTGAGGGCTGGGGCTTGTCTTCTCCTAACTCTGCAGTGTGGCTTAAGAGTTATTTCTAGCAGGGCAGCTTAGTATTTCATGTTATGTCATGTGGACACACAGACCAGGAGCTTCCATGCCTTTTGCAAAGTGACTGACTTTGAAGCAGTGTAACTCCTGTCCTCCGCTCTGCAGCTAGTGCTCACATGTCAGGTTGTAATATCATCCAGTCTTTCTGGGGGCTAAATACAAGTTCCCTCCTCTGTCTCTCCGCCCCTGATTTCTACTGCAACATGCATAATGAACTCCAACATTGAAATAATATAATTCCTTGTTTAATTAAGTTTAGATTGAATCCGACCTGTGGTTTTCCTACTGAAATTCACCTAAAATTTCATGTTAGGATTGTAAATAGTGAAGAGTTGTTAAAGGTTGTGACTAATGATTAATGCCCGTCCAAGGTTGATTTATACAAAACACAAAAGGCTTTCTTTTCATCTCTCCCTCTCTGCTGGGCTTATTTCCCCTACTGTTACTGTACCACAGTTAGCAGCTCCTTTCTACATGTAACATAATGAATTTGTGCATCCGTGCAATTGAAAACCATTTTGCAGATTTGCAGGGAGGGTCAGAGAGGCACTCCGGCAGGTGTCCAAGTACCATTTTATATGAGCAAGTAAGGAAGGGAAGATGTTTGGTTTTAGCGATTATGCATGTGATTGTGGTCTCTCCAAGCAAGAGTGTTGTGTTGCTGTAATTCCTGTTTGAAAAACTGCAGCTAAAACTTGCTTATAGGCATGTGGCTTTTTCAAGTTTCCTCAGGGGTTTGGGCTCTTGAGCCATTTTTGTGACGGATAAGACTGCCACTGGCCTGGGACTGAAGCCAGTCAGAAGGGTTGTATGTGTCACAGCAGAGCTTCATCTTTCTCAGGTTTCATCCTGTCTATCCCAGTGAAGAAAATTACAGGAGTGAAGAGGGGAGGGGACTACTTTTTAGTGTTATTTTTATACTTGTATATCGTCCGGGTGTTTCTTTTATGTGATAGATTTAGACACAATACATTATTTCTATCTCTGGAACCACATAAAGGCAGGATTCGCCCATCTATTTGTTTTTTTTTGGTTTGTGTGTGTGTTTTTTTTTTTAGCTGACTGAGCTAAAGCCTCACTCTTATCATGTGTCTCATGATAAGAACACAAATGGAAAAGAGCCAATCAGTAAAAAGAGTGAAAGAAAAGCCCTTCGTGTTCAAACATGTTGAGCCAAGAAGGGGTCGGAGCTTTGTGATCTTCAGTGTGCAGACATCTTGTTGTATCCATGAGCACACATACTCAAATACATTCCTGACAAATACTCATACATACCGGTGCACTATCCCAAGAGCTTCACTTCTATACTGAAGCTTTCTCACTGTTGTCATCATTAAAATTAGCCCGTTCAGGTGTGTCAGTTGTCTCGTATGTGTGTACCTGTACCCTGATCAAGAGAAAGGTTCGGTGTGGCCTAATTTAAAAAAAAAAAAAAATCTGGCGTTTAGCATAATCAAACATGCACACTACACAATTTAATGCTTTTGAATAACTGTCTAAGGTTTAATGATTAGTTTAAGGATCGGGTCAGTTTTTGGAAGGATGCGAAGTGGCACACAGTGAGCTTTTTGTCAGTGTGATTAAAAACAGACAAGGATAACAAGATAAATGGAACTATTTCATTGATGTCTATGGCTTTTTGGGGGCTAATACATTGACTGACAAAGTTTAGTATTAAGACATTGATCTCCATCCAATTCCCTCTGTGACTTTTCCCGTGCTTGAATGTGAAACAAAACGACAAAAAGAATCACACGTAGATTTATGTGCTATAGTGAAATGAAAGGTTGATAGTAATTTCTGTCTGTTAATTATGCTACGGTAACACAGATTCTGACTGACAAAGTTTGGTTAAGTGACATTGATCTACACAGTATCAGTGTTTTCTGTCTGACCCATGTTACCTTCTCTGTCTGTATCACTTACCTCATCTCACTTTTGGGCTTCGAAAGATCACATCTAGCATTGCCTTCTTGTGTTGTAGCCCCGAGTGGATGGACGAATGTGTCAAAAGCAATAATGTGTTGATTTTGAATACAAAGCAGTTCTGGGAATTCATATTAAATCTATAAATTTAACAGCAGTTATGAAGTCATATATAAGTTGGCCTTGAAGTGCGGGCAATCTGTGCTTATGGTGCCAGGTAGCATAGCAGGAATCGAACCCTGTTGTCATGCTTTAGAACAAGACAGCTAACCTCTACCGTGTGCCGTTTAGCGCTCAGTGTAGCATACAGAGTATGCCATTATTACATTCATTTTATTACAATAACTGATCAAGGAAGTCCATTAATTTGCAGATCAAGAACGCCTGGTTGCCTGCTGCAGCATTGTAAACAGTTGCTAACTGTACACTCCAATCTCCTGCAGTAGCACACCAACTGATTGCTCCCATTTCATTTCAAACCATTATGTTTCACAACCATATTAAACTGTGCTGTTGATTATATTTTTGGAAATGATTGTTTTTAGCCAGTTGTGTGATTGATTTGCACTATTTGACCGCCCTGCAGTGTTTTAGCCCTCTGCCACTCTCTTTCTCTGTTTGTCTGTTCATCTGTCTCTCCCTCCAGCTCTCTTTCTTTTTCTGTAAAGCTGCTACCAGTTGTATGCCTGGCAGTGAGGGGTGCTGGGGAATGCTGACTGTCCCTTTTTGGTGCTGAGCAGGAGAAAATAAACAAGGTTGAAAACCTCCTCAAAGCCATGTACTTTTGTCAACGTCTCTCCCTCCTCGTCTGTCTGTCTTGCTCTCCCTTCCTCTTTCTGTCAGAGATCAAACCAATCTAACGTCCGGTTTAAAAGTTCAGCTCACACAGACGAGATGTTCTGAGCTTTTTTTGTATGTCCTTTTTAAGTATTTAAAGCCTAAAACCTCTATGGACTTAAACATTTTCTTTTACGGCAACCCAGGGGGGCAAGTTCAGGTTACAGAGAAACTCCGCCAAAAATAATCACTTTGCAGAGAGAGAGAAGAGGACATGCTTGGACTCATCTTTTTTTAAGTATCTGAAGGGGGAAAGGGAAGAGGGGAGAAAGAGGGAGGGAATGGGAGTGATAGAGAGGTTCACCTCCGTTTGTAATCCAATCTCATCCTGATTCCAAGCTGTTTGAAGTTCTGTCAAGAGAAATAGGCTTTGATCATGTGGACCTAATGAACTGAGCGAGCAGAGGGGAAAAGATAGTGGAGTGGAGCTTTACTTCTGTGCAATAGCCTGTCTTTCCACTGATTGTCTGCTGGTTGAATTTAGTAATATTGCAATGTTTTTTTATGTGCTAAACAAATATGCAGAATAGATAAATTGTTATACTTTGTGTCAGTATTTCTAATACATACACGCTGTAGCTAATTTTCTTGTGTATAGCATAGCACGTCTTCTTGTTCCCAACTGTCTTTTGAGGTTAAACTGCATGAAAAGACAGAAGGGCAAAGCAGAGAGTCCTATTCTAGCATTTTCATCCTGTGTATTTTTTTTTTTACCCAATGCTGTTCAAATATCATTTGGTTACATTTTAACTAGGCTTCAGAAACACCAACACAAACATTTTACTTTTAAAAGTCTGTCATGTTGAAAGAGGCATGCCTCACAGAGTTTTGTTTTTAATGCAAATCTATACACCCAGTCGCCAGTTTATTTAGTTACCCCTAGCTAGAACTAATGTAGTGTAAATCTGTGTTCGGATTTTGTAACAACTGAATCTCACACTGCCTCCAAAATGACTTTGAATTCATCTCTCTAAACCGCTGTCAACAAAAAACTAAATATCATGACCTTCATGAATGCAGGGCTTCATTAGTTTTTAGATTGTACACCTAACTGGTAACTGAGTGTAATGTTGCTCAGGTTCACTGTTACGCAGCAGGTCGGTCAACAGTGTTTGACTTATGCGGCCAAATGTCTTATTTGTTTGCAGGGGAAACACTTGCAGATTCGACCCTTGTTGAGCGCCTCACTCCTGAGCTTCTGATAAGCTTTTTATGTGTCCTGGACCCTGATTGGACAGTGTAGTGTCACAGTCTCCCTCCTTTTATTGCCATCCCTCTGCCCTGCCAAAAACAATGATGTCACCCTTGTTGCCATGGTACACAGTGGGGCGAGCAGGAACATGAGAGAGAAAGAGAGAGAGAGAGAGAGAGGAGCTGCTGCTGTGTTTGGGAGGCCATGCTAAAACTAAACATGCATAGAAACAGTGGAGGAATAGAGCACATATTTTTATTACATTACAAAGCCTTTTCAGGGTGTGTGTGTTTGTGTGTGTGAGTGCTACAGCTTTCTGAATGACTTAATGATATAATTATTTTCAGATCGGGGTTGAACTGGTTTTCTATCAGATTTTATGACCTCATGCATCCAAAAGTCATTGTGTTTTCTTTCAACAAAAGAATCCCATACAGGAGACTTTCTCTAAGTGTTATGCTTCTAAATAGTATTTTAACTTCACTTTTCATCCAGATTTGTAAAATCCGATAATCACCTTTTTAAAAAAATATTCAAAATAAACAATGTGTATTTAAATTCCCAGAATCAATAAGAAGTGTCCAGCAGAGTCATCACAACTTTAAAAGTAATAAGGACAAACATTTAGAACAATACTTTTTGAATGGTTATGTCTCTGCTGTGATGCTAATCGGCACTGATGCATTTATACTTGTATATCGTCCGGGTGTTTCTTTTATGTGATAGGGTTTTCATTTTGATTCTGCAGAAAAATAAATAAATCTCCAATATATGATCAACGTCATTTGAAATGAAGCAGGAACAATCAATTGGCGTTGCATTACATGGGATAGTGTTAGTAACCAACAGTTTTTTATGGGAGTAGTTATGAAGAAAGCTGCGAGTCGAGGCTTCATGTTTTGTTTTGGAAGAGCCAGACAGATACATGAGGTCGAAGCAGTGGAAAGTCCCCGCGCTGAGACAGAGCCAGTGGTAGTTTTCCTGATTCTCTTTTGCTCTTACTCCCACTCACTGACGATTCTGTAGGCCTTCTGTACCAGGACAAGACTGCAGGGAAGCAGAGAGAGTCAGACACACAGAGAGATATAGTACACACACATACACACACATATGCAGAACCCATCCACAGCTATTTCTTCCAAAACATTCCTAACCAGATACTCCTCTGCTTATGCCAGAGGTTTGTGCCTCACTCAGCAAACAGTAAAAGTCAACAAAATCCAAAGTTTGACCTGGAACACAGCCTGTACAGTAACACTGTCATGAAGTAGTTTTTGTGGTCAACTTGTTTAAAGTGGCAATAAAAATATTGCTTCCTACTTGAACATACCATCATTTTGACTAATTACCCCTAATTTACATCCATGGCTGAGCACCCTGTTGGGAGTGTAAACGTGTCAGTTGACAGCAAAGGCATGAGTGTCAGTTCATGCTCAGTCATGTTTGAAAACTTAACAAATATTCTCATTGTATAATAATAATAGTTCTTTTTTTCATTGTACTCTAAATTTCTGGAGCTTCCTTGCCTCTTTTAGAGTTGGTGTAAAAGTAGACTTTACCTGCTCTCTGTCCTCATAAAGATGTTTGAATTCTCAAACTTTGTAATAGAGGCTCAGCATCACTAATAACTCACTCTCTCCTTCATCTTCTCCTCTTCTCAGGTGAAGCAGCTTTGAGGGGCGACCCCAGACTCCAGTCCCTGTCTCTGTCCTCATCTTCCTCCTCTTCCTCCTCCTCCTCTTCGTCGTCATCATCCTCTTCTTCCATCTCCTCCATCTCCAGCCACAGGACGGGTCCTCCTCCCATCAGCCCCACCAAGAGGAAGCTGAGCGGGGACCAGGGGGACAGCGACATGGACGACAACGAGCATGTGGCAAAGATGAGCCGACTGTTTGCTGCGCAGCTGTGAGTACACACGCTGAGAAACACTCATTAGTTGTTGCACTTACACACTTTCTAATAAAATCCATTTTGAAGACCTTGAAATAGAGTTATTTTCTAGGTGCTCATTTCCTGAGGTGCTGGTAAAAAATATGTGTCTCAGATTTTCTTTGTTCTCCTGTCTCTGCCTCTTGCGTGCGCACACACACACACACACACACACACACACACACACACTGAAGAGAGCACCTTGCTGCCTAGAAGCTACATGCATACAAAATTACTTCACTTGGTGGAGCTGTGCACAGGCAGGCTTTCTCAGAAGTCCCAGTTTGGACTCCAGGGTGCTATGCCAGGTTTAGCTGGCCTCACGGTGTTCCCCTTATAGCCGCAGATCTCTGGAAGCTTGGAAACGGACTGCGCAACAGAAAGATTACTCACATCTCCAGCGTTCCCACATTCCCACTTCCAGAGATTCCAAAGATTCTGGAGCGCTGGTTGGTGGTGAAGCCCTGCTAGGGCTGGGGGCAGTGGAGTCAGAGCTCTCTCCCTCTCTCTTTTTCGGTTTGACTGAGTCAGTCATGGGCCATTGCTATTTATTGCAGACAGTCAAGGAGGTGTTAGATAGAGCGTTGCAGTTCTGCATGGATGCTAATTGTTAGCAATATGTCCTGTAGCCAAAAATAGCAGTAATATTAAAAATGAAGGATAGCTGGTTTTGTGTGACTGCTTTCATCACAGTCACTTGTTTTCTGTGACGTGACACAACGGAACCCAGTAGATGATACACTGGATATAATAGAAGCCCTGGATTAAGAGTAGAGCACTGTTACTGCCAATGTATTTATGTGGCAAAGCATGTGCAAACAGACAGATGCATGTGTGGATGCACATGCAGTACATGCTGTCATTAGTGCATGATGGCACAAACACCATTTAGACTTTAAAGGCTGGGAAGTTTGTGCAGCTGCTGTGAGCTTGTATTTATAGCATTTACAATTAATTAAAATGGCAAACGAGAGTTGTAGCAAATGCAAAAGTATCTGAATGTCCAAGGAAATTTCTCAAATCACTCCTGCAGTATAATTCACTCCTCTGCAAAATGATCTGCATGATCTGTATGTTCGAAACACTTTACAAAATGGCTAAATCCACTTTCGCATTCTCATAAATAGGGTATTAGTAGTAGTTTATTGGTGAAGCGGTGGTTTGGAACATACAGATACAAATAAATAAATATCAATAAATTTTATTTCCAGAATAAGTTAAGGGCTTTTGCCTGGTGAGTCTCACCACGACAAAAGTAATTGCAAAAGTTGTATGTGCTCACTGTCCTGTGTGACAGGGCAGGGATATTTTTGCATGGCTTGTGTTACAGGTAGGAATCTATGACTTTTGGGGGGGGGGGTCTTTGTTCCCTCATCTTGTGACCATCTGGGCACACATAACAAAGGATTAGCTTCTTTTTCTTGGCATTTGTGCAAAGTCATCTTGTTTTTAGTTATGGATGTGTCAGTGGTGGGAGAATTACCATAATACTCTTCAGAGAAGCCAGGCAGTAAATCCGTCTCCCCACTTGGTGTTTAATTCTCTTGTCTCAGTTGTTTTTCACTTCCTTCTGAGAAATGTCTCTTGCACGATGCGGTTAACTTCTGCATACATTGATAAGCAAATGCTCCTACTCGCGTATCACGAGTTGGATTTTTATTTTGTAAGTCGGCCTGACTAAGTACAATGGGACTTATTGTCATATCAGCTTTCAGTTGGTGTCGCAACTCCTAGCCACAGCTTCTAAATGCAACCAATTTGTGAAGTTAAAATTGGGTTCTGTGAAAATGAAACTGATCTAAATAGTCTGTGAGGTTTTAAGAGTTTTCAAACTGCTCACTGTACTGTGATTATTTCCTAGAAGAAACCTGTGATAAGCCATAATCCCTTTATTTAACCTTCATTTTAATTATGTCCTTGAAGTCATTTGACTGTAGTTGCTGTAGGTTAATCTCTGCCCAAGAAAAGTCAATTGCTAGTTGACTTGTTGCAACTTGAAGTTAAATACAAGGCTTTCTACAAGCTTCATCAAAATATTTTTTTTTCCATTCTGGGAACCTATTTGCCGCAGGGCCATCCTCTATATGTCTTATTTTTAGTTATTTAATTTGAGCTTTCTCTGAGGGCATCCTTTCCCTGGCAAAGGTAGCTGCTTGGGAGTGACTTGTTGAAACCTGCCGTCAAGAGTCGGCCTCTGAAAAGTTTCCCTCCTCGTTTGAACTGTCGTGCCTGTCTAAAGAACAGTGATTACACTAAAGTGGAGAATGATGGGTTGTCGTTACAGAAAAAGTTTTGTTAAAAATAGTGGGGAAAAACAGCCTCTATAGAAAACACTGGAGGGTACTTCACGGTCGACTTGCCTTTACTGAACATACACAAGCTTTCTGCTTCATTTAAGTCATCTTTCAATTGTAGGAACAGTGATTAGGTTTAATTTGAAAACGATGGACTTAGTTCTTGGGAAAAGGCTAGACTGAAAACCAGAAAATGAACCCCTGCAAACCCCCCCCTCCCACACACACACGCACGCACACACACACACAGTTCATATTTCCAGAGATGGTTATCTGACACCATTCTAGCTGCTTCTGTCTGTGTAGCTTGTTTTGTTTTTTTTGTCTGCACTGATTGCTCTGCTCCATGTTGACTGTTCTTGCATGTTTGGCAGCTTTTGTGTTCATTCTCCTCTTTAAAAAAAAAACAGTTTTCTCTGTCTTTGCTTGAATGGCAATTTTCCTGTGTGCTAAATAACAAGCATTTTTTTGGTTGGTTGTTTTTTGTTTGTTGTTGAGCTGCTTCTCGATGGCTTTGTTTTGTCTGCAAGTTTGTAAGTTTCGATGAGTGTTGACACAGACAGACAACTGACACCACCGACTTGAGGCGGGGCTATGTGAATTCTGCATAAAAGTCCGATTGAAAACTTTGCCAGTCTTAGTGGCAGGCTGATATGTGGACATGATCTCTGTCTGTTCTGAGTCTGCATGTGGTTGTGCAGGTATGCACATGTGTCATAGTATGTGATGTCCATGCATGCATGTGTGCTTGTCCATCTGTGTGTGTGTGTGTGAGTGGGCTCCTTGTCAGGCAGCAGGGGCTACTTTCTCATTTTCTCTGAGGAGAAGGAGGAGTCTTGAACAAAGAAGCCTTATCCTGTCCACTGGAGCCTGCGGGCTGGAAGCTTGCTGCTGCCTGCCCGCCACTCTGCAGTTGTAAGCCAGCCAGTTTAAAAGTCCTCTTGCTTAGCTGTTTCATCCCTCCTTAAGAACGAGAGGCAGTCACAGAGCAAGGTCTTGTATAGGCTTTTAATCTGGGAATATAACTGCAGCCAGGTTACATGTGTCTCAGTGGCCATTAGGTTGGTTGAGAATAAGAATTTATGATATTTTCTGTGTAACCATATTGAGTGTTTTTTTTAAATACTGTGAGTTGTTTTTCTCTGTGAATTACCAATAACACATAAGAGTTATTTTACTCAGTGATGAACCTGATGAGTTGACCTGCATCAGTGCTTGGAGCAAGCAATTCTTTGTTCTTCTTGTTCTTTAGCCTGATGATAATGATTTCTTTACCCTTCATTATTTTAATTGCTGAAAAAAAGCTGGCATATGGACAATTATTCAGCTATACACGCTTTTCACATGATACGTAATCTTTCTTTCTCATTAGTGCTATGTTACTCTGAAAGGTAAGGCTATAGATCCAAGTTCCTCAGCTTGCTGCAGTCAGTACTGTAGCATACAGTAACTGCAGCTGCTTTCTACTGGGAACTTCAGCAGCAAGTTGTTCTCATGGAAGTTTCTCCATAGACCAAATGCAGAGAAAATAAGAGAGGGTGTGTGTGTGTGTGTGAGCGTGGCCAAGCCTGGTGAAGTCATTGTTACCCTCTTGTTTTACATGGGACTATTTTGCAGTGTGTGAGCATGTGAGGAAAGGAGGGAGAGCATATGGGTGTTTTTTTTTTTTTTTTTTTTCTGTGTGTGTTCACATGTTGTTTTCTTTGCCTTCTTGTTGTGGTTGATCCCATATCCGATCTGTCCCAGCTTCAATAACAAAGGATTTTCTTCAGTTCTTTTTCTCTGCAGTCAGTTAACTGTCAAATGTGTGCTTGATATTTATCAGATCTTCTGCATGAAATCTGAAAAGATTTGAAATGGCTGAAAGAAATGATGCAAGGTTTGTCTTGCTTTTCAGATTGGGCATAATGTATGATTTAACATATAGCATTTCATTTAATACTTTATATTGCATGTTGTATGTCAAGGATGATTATTTGATTTATAGCAGTAATAGTCTGTGAACGACATCTGTTAAGGTATATTTCCTCTTGGGGTCGACTGTTCTATTTTAAAGGATACAAATATTATTGGTAACTTCCGCTCAGTCCCGCTACTAAAACCTGGACTGAGCAGAGAATGCAAACTGTGCTGAGATGTTTGTATGCTTTATATACATAGCCTGGGTAGGCCCTGTGGCTCACTTTGTGTGTGTGTGTGTGTGTGTGTGTCCATTTTGTGGGATTCTGCAGACCTCTGCAGCGCCTGGGCCTGGTTGTAACCTGTGGTGAGCCTTCATCTTTTTAATTTTTTTTTGGTCATCTTCTCCTCTCTACGCCCTGATTCTTCCCAGATGTTTCCTGTGTGTGTGTGTGTGTGTGTGTGTGTGTGTGTATCTCTCTCTCTCGCTCTTTATTTATTTCTTAAAGGAGTAGGATATGAACGTCTGCCCAACCAAAGATTTGTAGTGAGGTTTTCTCTGCAGACTTGGGAGCACAATTGTGAGAAACGGCACAGAACTTTTATAGCTCCTGTATAATATAGCTAACTCACCAAATTGGCAGTCTACCATAGAGCTAAACCTGGCACACACTTTTGAAAACTAAACAATATTTTTAAACTCCCTGGTTCCTATGTTTATATTTGTTTTATTTAGTTTTTCATTGTGGCAATTAGACAAGTTAGCTCATACAAAGCTGCTTGTTAACCCAGCAAGAACAAGTTTTCATATTGTACAGGAATACAGATCTACAAACAGTGTGTTTTTTTTCCTTTATAAGTCATTCAAACACATGGTCACAGTTGTGATCTTTAACTTGAGGTTAACTTGAAGACGGAGTGTCATGTGAATGGTTACTTAAAGGCTATATTTAATGACAGATCTGAGTGTGTAATATTGTTCAAGATATCTAAGTATATAATTTATGTATCGAGGGTTGGACTCTCTGGGTTTTAAATTAAGGGATCTTTCAGTGAGTGCCCACCACAGTGACTACCACTAATGCCAGGCTGCACATAACCTAGACTTTAGTAAAATAGAATCAAAAAGATATCTGCTCTCTATTTCATTGTGTCAAGCTGTCCATTCTGATGTCAGTCACACAAGTCACACGGTGACTTTTTTTGTGGAGTTGTGGCCGGGTTTAATTGTGCTTTAGAACATAACCATCTTAAAACAATCAGAATTCGAAGCTTCATTTGAAAACCTCAATAAAATAGTACAGCGCTAGTGCTTTCTCTCACATCTATACAGACTGTACAATATTAGATCTGTGCTTCTCTCCCTGCCCCAGGTTTGTTGTTTACTCCATATTGATGCTTGCTCCAAGTGTAATTAGTAACCCAGTGAACATTTATTGTGAAATAAGATTAAGCTGCGTCGCCAACCTCTTCCCCTGTCTTTTTTTCCCCCCACAATTCACTCCTTATGCCTCTTCTTTTATTCAGTTTTTCTCCCCATACCCCTTGTAGGTGCCAAGTCCTAGTGTTCTTTACTTTCCAAAGGCGCTCTCTCCTTTCTATCCCCCCCCACCCCCCGCTTTCATCCCCTCCTCTAGCTCCAGACCTGGCAACCCTGTCTCTTCAGCTCTATCCCTTGTTACCGCCCCCATCCCCATGTCTCATGTGTAGCCCTCGTCGTCCGCCCTTCACATCCTCTCCCTCTCTCTTCCCAGCTGCGAACCTAACGATAATTGAGAGGTGAGTAAGAGACACAAAGACACAGGGTGGGTTTTTGAATGCCTGATCCCTGGCATGAAATGCGGTCCTGGGTTTGGTGGGCAATCAGGCGAGGGGAACGGTGGGGGGCGGTGGTGGATTCGACAGCCACGCCATTCATTGGTCGGATTTGTTGATCCCGTTCGCTGGCTCCTGCAACGGCCCCTCTTGTGCGAGGATGTGGGCATGCCTGCTCTTTGGCAATGATTAAAGTTTGGAACAACTTCCGCAACCTTACTCAAGACCCAGCTGCTGGTGGGGTAGAGAGAGGGAGACCTTTATTATCTCTTTGCCTCTAAGCTAATCAAGGGATTGTTTATATTTGAAGATAACAGAGTTATACAGGAGGACTCTGGTTTGTAGCATTTGATTAAAAGTTTCCTTTAGAAATCATTTAAACACTACATTCATTTTACTATGGCCTGGTGTAATGTGATTAACTCCACAGTGCTTTTTAAACTATTTGATAAAGAATGAAACTGAAAATTGATGCCACTATAAGAAAACATGAAAGCTTTTTGGTGAGCTGTCGGTCAAATGTCTCCCTCTTTAACCCTCAGGAAGTTTGCTGTGTGTGTGAGGGGGGGCGGACAAAGACAGAAAAAAAGAAGAGGGGGGTTCCTGCTAATGTAAGCTCTCGGCACAAACGAAGGAAAATACCGACCTCACTCTTTCTTGTAGTAGAGGTCCGGACCATTCACAGTCTAGCTCCCCCCACCTCCCCTCAGCTCTTCCTCTATCCCCCTCTGTATTCTCTGGAAACTATTTATTTGTGGAGGACGGTGCTGTGGGCTCCAGATGCTTGACCCAGCAGTCAGGTTGCCTGGTCACACGGATCTACAACTGTTTGCCTGAACTTGGTGTTTTGCATCCAAACAAACCTTAAAGGGCCGCCGCAGCGTATTCCCTCTTGAGTCTGTTGCGTATTGTCATTCAAACTCTTTCACATGGGTGGGGAAATGCCTCCACACGGTATCTGGTGAAGAATAAAGAGGGAATGTCACGTTAAGCTTATTTATAGTAAATTTTATGTATTTTTCCCAATTGAGGCTTCTATGATGTGTATTTTGGTCTAGGAAGGAGGAAGTCGGTGTGTATGTTCTGATTTATGAATGGATGTGTGTATGCATTTTGGTATGGAGTTGGAGAGGGAAGAAGAGATAGTGAGAGGCGAGACCAGTAAATCTTGCTCCCTGTAACTGGGCCTCAAATTGCAGGAGGGGAGTGGAGCTGCAGTAAGGCTGTAATACACAGTTGCGTACGTACACACACACACACACACACTCTCACTCAGCAAACAGACCACATTTTACGCACTGAGCAAAATAATTGCTACCTGTTAAACTGTAAGCGAATGTGCACAGTATCAGGCACCACCGCTTCACTACATATCAAAACATTTCAAAGTCATTATCATCAGAGCTGGGAGCTGAGGGGGAAAAAAGAGGCCAAAATCTGTGTTGTGTTAAACTGTCGTTACTTTACTCCCTTATCCTTATCTCTGCTTTTTCAATGATTAAAATATGAGCTCACCGATTGGAGAGAACAAAGGGATTTCTTTGCGGTGGGAAGTAACTCTCATTCATATGGAAAGTGTGTAGCCAGCCTACCTTTTTGTTCACCTTTAGTATTCAGCTCATGAGTGTGGCCAGTGTGTTGTTGAACAGAAGTCAAGGGAAAGAAAGAGTAAAAAAAAATAAAAAAACACACAAGAAGAGACATTTCAGCGACAACTTAAGCAGATTAAATCAAATGTTGGCAGTGAGATGCAGACAGAGACAACTTCTCAGCTCGTGTCTGTGCTGCAGGATTTTTCATTTGACAGCAGTGAGTGCAGCTGGCTTCAAGTCCACTGGAGAGATAAAGTTGATTTGCTGTACTGACGAAACCACTTTAGAGCTTTGAACTTTGTGCCTGTTTGCCCCTCTGTGCAGGGATATGTTTGGAGTCTGTCCATGTTGGAGACAGTTAGGAGAGTGTTCCTTCCTGCTTCCTAGACTGAACAGCAAAGAGAGAGAGAGAGTGCCTGTGTGTGTGTGTGTGTGTGTATGAGCATGTGCTATTACAAAACAGTCTTATCAAACCCTCCTGCAATCTGAGTGTGTGTATGAGAGTGTGTGTTTGTGTGTGTGAGGTCAGTATTAATAGCCTCAGAGCCCCATTTACAATTGTTCTTTTGTTTATCTTCTCTCTTCCCTCTTTACTCCCTCATCTATTTCTCTTCCTCTCTGGGCCACTTTTTACCTCTCTGTGTTTATTCGTCTCTCCGCTGCTCTACTTTTTTCTGTGTCCATTTTCTGCCTCAACACTCCAGTCTGTCCTCATCTTGTTTTCTTTTGAGCTCATCCCTGACACCTAAGTTTTGTTATTTGATCATTTTGAATCAGGTGCCATGTAGGTTCAAATACAAAGTTTATTTAAGTTCAGATTTTCTCATCAGATAACCTTTTCTTTAGTAGGAACGTCATTTAGCTAAAGAGCAAATATGTTATGGATCTGGCAAAACTTGAGTTTCAGTTTTTTAGTTTTTTCTTACTTAAAATAGTTGGAAGCCAAACCAAAATATATTCAATATGTAGGCCTATTCACATTCAGTCTTGTTACTGGATTCAGAATCCACATGGTGCTATCAAATCCCAACCCTAAAATACACACATAAAATAAATACAACCCAATATGCATGATAAATTAAGGTGCCTCTCTCTGTCTCTACCTCCTCTGTTCCCCAGGAAACCTAACGGAGACTATCGCAGCTCTCCCGTCTGCAAGGAACAGAGCCGCAGTCCTATCGAGCGTGTGGTGGTGCCCAGTGCTCTGGGAGTCCACAGCAACCACCTGTACAGCCACGCCCACCATCACCACCACCACCACCACCACCACCTGGCCAGCTTAGCCGGCATGGACCAGCCATTGGCACTCACCAAAAACAGCACGGTGGAGTCTGCACGTAGCACCACAGCGGCTATGGCAACAGTGCCGCACACAGTCAGTGCCGTGGAGCGCCAGCAGGTAACTTGCACATCCTGTTTCTTTAGTTCTAGTACTGACTACATCTTTAGTAAAACCTCAACTCTGGTAGGTCTTCCACAAGATGTGACTAATGTGCTTGCATTAGCTGGGCTCGTCAGATGGTGGAGAGTAGAATTTCCTATTTGGCTTGTTGGCCAAAACATTTTTGAAGCCCGGGTGGTCACTGAATCATTCTCTCTCCTTCAGGCTTCAGAACTTCCCTTTTGGGCCGTTTTCTTTACATGAATATTTCCTGCATTTCTAACTCAGTTTTCTTTGTAGTTACTCTTCTCGCACCTGCTCTTGACACAATCGTTTGTTGTTTTTGGAGATCCCTAAATGTTGAGTTTGTGTCCTTGTGTTTCAGAATCGTCCTTCAGTGATCACATGCGCCCCAGCTAACAACCGCAACTGCAACCTGTCTCACTGTCCGGTTTCTCACAACGGCTGCTCAAGCCTCTCTAACAGCTACAGGAGAATCAACAGTGAGTGCACTCATGCAAGTGTTCTTGTGGATGAAGACAGACAGACAGACACGTAACATCCTAGATTGCTGATAGTTACCAAGTATACTATATTGGGCACATGTGTCCCTAAATGTGGATGTAATTTTGGGAACAAACACATTTCCCATACAGTGCAGTTTTTGTACAAATCACCCTTCAGGGAAAACACAGCCTGCTGTCCACATTCAGTTTGACTTCTTTAACTAGTGAAAAAAAAAATCATCTCTGTCAGCGAGTCGGAGTTCCTGTTTATAGCACATGAGTTATTGTGACGACTCAACAGGCTTTGTTTTACTACCTTGTCTGTTATCTCTCTACGTAAAAAGTCACTTGAGGCCTTAGCCAAACATGCGTCTGTTTTATTTGTCCTGTCTGTGAGTGTCGGCCATGTTTTCTGTGGGTTGATAACTTTACTGTGGCCAGTTTTATGATCCCAGTGAAATCCCTATGATCTCATTGGGGTTAACAGTGAAATTTAAAACGGTTATTTAAAAAAATAAAATAAAATGCAATGAAAAACTGAAGTAGATGTTGGAGTTAGTATTTTTTCCATTGTCCTAAAATGCACATTACCAACGTTTCACTGTGGGAACTAAAAACTCTCTCCGTCTCTTGCCTTCTCCTATCCCCTCCCTATCTGTTCTAGCCAACACAGCCTGTGACCCGGTGATCGAAGAGCATTTCCGCCGCAGTCTTGGGAAGAACTACAAGGAGCCCGAGCCCACCGCCACCAACTCAGTGTCCATCACGGGCTCGGTGGACGACCACTTCGCCAAGGCACTGGGCGAGACCTGGCTGCAGATTAAAAACAAGGGGAGCCCCTCGTCGTCCGGCAGCAGCCCAAACTCCTCCCCCGACAGTCACATGGTCAATCACAACCACTCCCCTTCTGTCGTCTCCTGAAGGAGGACGGGTTAAAGAGGGATTTGCCTCCCGTTTCCCCTGCCCTCCCAATCATCCCGGCTCCAACACCCATGCCTCCATCACTTTGATCTGTCACCAGCATCCCAGAGGAAATGCCTGCCTGCTGGTCTGCTAAAAACATCCAAAACCCTCAAACCTGCTTTTTCTTTCTATGCACTCATAGAGGATCAATCAAGCAATAACAACAAGGTTGTTTATTTTATTTTCTTCTTCTGTCCTCTGGTATGGGAATGCCAGACCGTAATCAGTAATGGGTGATGAGGTTCGACTTTGGGACTTGACTGGAGCATCGAGCTGCTCCTTTTCTCAATCATTCATCACCCGTGCATGTCATGCTTGAAGCTGAGCAAGTGTCTGTAGTTATATGTACATAGAGAGGCAAGACGGTGTTTTAATTATTAATTTTTCTTCTTGTTTTGTTTTTGTTTCTTTAACAGTAGTTCTGTATACTGCTTTTGCATTGTGAGATGCCTGACATTTGAAAAGAAAATTGAAGTGAGAAACACTTTGGAGAAAATAATCACAAACCACCTGACTGTGCTACCAAAGAAACCTCAGAACCTGATGTTTATTCACTGCCCACCTCGAAAACAAAACAACAGACAGCCATCTTGTAATCTCCACCTTCTGTTTTATCTCTTTTTTTAATTTTTATTTTCATCCTCTCATTCCCCCCTCTCTCCTGTGCATGTGTTCTGGTGGTTTTGTTACTGTATGTGTACGCTTAAGTGATCGACTTGGTCTGATTTGCACTACTGCCGTAGTGGGTAAAGGGTGGCGTGTCAAAATTGTAATCTGGCAATGTACACACTGGGACTGATGGCGTGGACGCAATCAGGCATAATCCAGCTTTTGTTGGAATCTCTTATTTGATCTCCAAATTTTAATCTACCTGGATGTAATTTCATTCTGACCCTGACAGAAAAGTACATACCAGGGGACTGGTGGGCAGTATGAAATGTTAGAGATATGCAAAGTAATTTGGCTACCATATGATGTATACAGTATCTCCAGTATTCATAGTATATTGGGATAGTAAATATATTGGACCTCCCAGCCCTGCATACCTGCTCTAGGCTGTAAGTACATCCACTTTTTTAATTAAGCCGTGCTGATTGGTATCGGCGTAGACGAATATATTGCCGCCCCAACAAAAAGCATATAAAACAACTTCACACGCTGTGCCAAATTGTTTTTTGTTTTTCACAAGCACAGTCAGGTTATCAAGTCAGCTAACTGTTGGTGTTGATGGACACCGCAGCCATTATGAGAGATTAGGCCTGAAAACCCAGTTGTCCAACCTTCACTGTGTTGAAGGCTACACTCTGCTGAACAACGTGCTTTGATGTGTTTCATGGTCTTAACTGCTGACAGTGATGAGGGGATAGATGACGCCGCATGTCACTTTGTGGTTGGGGGAGAAAGAAAAAAAGAGTCTGGTTTCTCGACCTGGGGAGAGATCATTCACATCTCTTCAAACGCGCCTTTTTGTTTTTGTAACTCTTTGAACACAGGTGTAATTATATTTGGCTTACACCCTGTCACCCCTCCCTCTCATACTCACTGTGGTTTGGTAGATTTCTACAAGGTTTGAAGGGTAAACTAATGCTTTTACAGATGCATGTTTTTTTTTTTAATAGCTGGTATCTATTAATGTTTTTAAGCATTTCAATCTTAACTACTATTAGACTTTTCATTTGGACGTTAGTTGTTACTTCTTTCATTGTCAGTAACAGACATAGACACTATACACTCACTGCTGGGTCAGTTGTACTCCATATTATTATTGTTACTGTTATTATTACACTTTTGTAATTGTTTTTCATTAATATCAGTATGGTAACAAACATCTATAGCGGGACAGCCTCCGGACAGGCTCTGTTTAACGATGAGAGCTGCGCTTCTCAAAACCACCTCGGCCCGGTAACCGCCACCGCTCATCGCAGCAGTGGCGGTTCTAGTGTCGAGTTGCCATTGGGATACGCAGCCCGTAAAGGTTTTCTTAAGATGTTGATCAATCAGTGGTACAGGATGCTACAAACTTCAGCGTGACTAAGCTGAGACACCAAACTGACACAAATTAGTCAGCAGGGCCTTGTTTTTCTGGAAAGCATCTCAGCCTGAGAAGAAAAGTTTCAGAGCTATGAAAAACATAGCAGCGAGATGGTTGCAAACAAAACACTTCATAATTTATGGTTATCTGAATGCATGGTGCGACATCACAGCTTTTTCAGCCTTCGTCAGTTGACTTTTTGTGTCCTGGCTTGGTGTCCAGGCTTTATTTTTTTGTTACTTCAATGCTGTCTTTTCTGAACAACATTGTAATGTTGCTGCAGTGAAGCTAGACTGCTGCAGTCTGAGAAAATGAAGTGGGAAGAGCCTGTGCCAAGGTGGCAAACATTCCTCCTATAGGGAACTTTGTACAGGCCTCACACACACACCCAGCATCTCCACATCAACACACAGAGCTAACAACCAGCTGGGGCCAACTGTCCCAGGCTTTATTGTGTCTTTAGCAGAATTACAATGTGTCCACTTTTTTTGTCTTTGCATCATGCAAATTTGCAATAAAATCCGTACCGTATGATAAAGGAACAAACAAGCATTTGTGCCATAACAGAATTTAGAGAACTGGGGTTGTAACAGGTGGGCAGTAGAAAAGTAGCAAAGTACAGAATCATTTCATGCCCCTAAGCTGATGTTGAAAGGTGACGAGGTTCATATTCGTTTGTTTTAGGTAATTTAAAAAAAAAATCAAGTACATCCATTAAAGAGTTCTCTCCCTCAGTGTTCTAGAGCGTCCACACATTCCATCCTCAGAACCGATGTGACAGAACACCAGCTGATGGTTAAAGTTCTAGAATCTTCACATACATAACATTTTTCATCGTTTAATCTAGTGAAGACATTTCCATAACAAATAAGTACGTTACTACGCTTTGGAGGTGGGGGCAGTGCTTCAGGAGCTGAGCTTCTGTTAGCACGACCTGTGTCACAGCAATGCCCCCCCCCCCCGATTAAGACTTAACATGCTAGAAAACATGAGGGAAAAGGGCTCAGTGTCATGGATTTTTGTTTTTCTGTTATCATTTCACTACCACCCTGTAGGTAGGAGGCTCTCTTTCTGCTTTGACACACTCCCTACACACTGTAGGAAAATCACTTAATAAAAAAAATACTTTTTTATAATAGGTAACTATAAGACCATCATTACGCTGTGCGTAACGAATGTACAGAGAAAAAAATCGTAGGTATTTTTTGAGGAACAATTAATTTGTTAATGATATGTAGCTATTTAATTGTTGGTTTTCCTGTCCTTATATTGTAATCATTGCATTTTCTTTTTTTTTGTGAAAAAAGTTGATCTTTTTTGTTTATAGAGTTTGTCTTGTTAGAGTAAAGGTTCAAGTGCAGGAACACAGTAAACTTATGAAACCACAGTAAGCCACTGGTGTGCCGGTGACAATCGCTATTTCCATTGGTCCTCAATGTTCTGCAATCATTTAACTTGTGTTAAATCATGTGACTTCTGAACAAAAGTTTCACTTGTGAGCAAATGGGAGGTTGTCCTTTTAGTGCCCTCTTGAGCAATTTGCATGTTTTGCATTGATGGAACATAAATTTTGCCACTAGCCTGGTGAGTCTTGGCGGCCATTTCCAAGTAATTTCCATTGAACTATTAAAAATTAAATAAAATTCATCATGTCATAGTCATGGGCTAGCTTAGTCAAATTTCCACCATTGCATGTAAGCAATATAAAATGTGGGTTTTGAAGGTGTTTTGATGACAATGGGAACTGAGCTACAAGTTAAATCATCAGTCCCATTGAGAACTTTTTTTTGGATTGGTTTATAACACCAAACTTAACTGACCTGACTGTATATTTGTAATAAACATTATGGTCAAGTTCATCTGCTTCTTTACCAGTTGGTGAGGCTGAGATGGGCTTTGGGGATGTCGCCCTTGTATCTAATGTTGCTGTTCCCATCTGTGGAGGCCATTTTGCATCTGTAATCAAGTAAACAACATGAAAATTGTGCCGATAAATCAAAGAGGAGTCAGTCTTTACTCGTGACTGTACCACATTTTCCAGATCGTTTTTGAAATGGAAATAGCATGTGCTTCGTGGTAGTAACACTCTGAACTGTAAAAGAAATTTGTATCAAGAAATTTGTGGCTCTGTGTCTCCTACTAAAAAGGTTTTGGCAGGCCACCTTTTTTGTACGTAAAGTAGCCTCGATGAACAATAAAATGCTTTTAAACCACTGTCTGACTGTGTGGCTTCTGTAACTGTGCGTTTGTGGTTGTGCAGTGGTTTAGATAGAGATACTAGAAAAAGGGGCATATGGGTATAATGCAGGCACACTGAGTGCATGAAAGGACATAGCATAGTGTAATAAAGGCACAAGAATGAAGTAGCACACTTGAATTCCACATAAACCACTATTATAAAACAGAAAAATTGTACAGACCTTTTATTCTAGTTTTTGGTCAAATACTTCCACAAGAGAAAAAGAACGACAAAAACCTCAGACTACTTAATGATAAAATCCAAATCAACATCGGTTAATCTCAATTTTGAGAATAGAATCTGAGGGAAAAAAATTTGAATTTTGGATTTTTTTGGAGTCACAATTCCGACTAGCTAACTTCAAGCTCAAATTCTGAAACGAATCTCAGATCTTTTTATTTTTTTCTCCACATTGTACTAATTCTCTTCCAGACATATCCAAGCCGCTGTTGACATTTACAATTCATTACACTGAAAACATTGTACATGTTAGCAGTTAAGACAAATACAAAAAGGCAGAGTAGGAAAACCATAACTTGCACAGACGAACACGAGCATGCGTCAACACAAACACCATAAAGACCTTCAGTTTGTCCACTGGCTCTTTTACATTAAACCGTGCAGTTGTAGGTTCCAGGTTGTCCACAGTAAGTACATCAGAAGCAAACACAGTTCAGTCGCTGAAGTTCAGCAATGTCTGTGTGCAGGCTTCCTCATGAGTTAACACCTTTGGGAGAACCAAGCTGGTTTTAGTAATAACTACTGTATGAATCACACTCTCCAGTAAACAGACAGGGAGATGGATGGATTTTCTGACTGGTCAACTGTGTTTCTGTGTTTTCATAATTCATCTGAAGCTCTTTTCTGAACTGAATGAGCGAGCAGATGTAGTATGTTAAAGTCCTGCCAAAGGACTCTCCAGCTAACCCATTAAATGTGTGATGGAGGGACCGTGGGAGGGATTGGACCTGTGACCATTTTAGACAAAAACAATAAAGCCCCTTTATACAAATGCAGAGTGTTTCTGTCTCAAACACTGATTAAATGTGACTGATTACACATAAGCAAGTGAGAGGAAGAGGTACATTCACCCTTACATACAACAGGTTCATACACAATGTGGAAACTTGTCCTGTTTCTAATGTAACAGTGAAAAAACAGACATTCATTGAATATTTAAGCAGTAAAAGCAATCTGATTCTTTCCCTGTTTATTATTTTTATCATATTACTGCTGAGGGTCTAAACGATTCGTTTGACCTTGAATCCACATGAAGACTAATACGAATTCTAAAGCTTACTTTTCTGAAGACGTTTTGTAATGTACTTGGTTTTGATTACTTGAATTTTATCAGTGTGTCCGCTGTTGTCCGCAAAGCCCTTGTCCCCTTGTCCTTTGTAAGTGCAAGAATTCTTAAACAAAACAAAAACAGAAAGGTGGATTGGAGGGTTGGAGTGTCCAGTCCTTCGGAGGCTCAGGCTTTGTTCCTCCAGTCCTTCAGATGCTCTCATCATCGCTCATATCCCAAATCTAATGAGAAAAAGACACGACAGAAAAAGATATTAAAAACACGGACGTCATTTTCTTTGTCTACAAAACAACGTCCATATCGTTCCACTAACTAGTCTTAACTCAAGGTTCAATTACTAGTCTTTTCGCTGTCACATCTAATAGCTTTCAGTGGCGTTTGCTCAGTGAGATGCGGTAAGAAAAATCCAGAAAAAGCTAGTAACTGGACCTTATAGAAGTTTTATTGTAAACAAACAAAAGCTATTTTTACATTCAGTGTTTTTCCAAATTGGGTGTGTCCTTGAGGTCTAACAAACCAGACGAGTGCATTCCCTTCCTGCAAAGCCAATTTTTATGTATTGTTTACATTCATGGTTGCATGCCTGCAATCTTCTGTGCTGCCTTTTAAGTCACACTACAGCGATTTATATCCAACAACGCAATAAGGGCTCTGATCGTGATTAGCCTCTGATTGTGGTCAAGAGTGTTTGGCCTATAGAGGCTGCACTGATTTAATACACTTCTATTAATAGCCATGCAAGTTTGATAGAACAGGTGGAGACAGATAACCAGGATAAACAGACAGGATTTCCATCTTAAGAAGTTACTTGTAAGAAGAAAGATACACTTCAGAGAACACACAGGGAGCCTGCAGCTCCCCTTTCTTGGCTGCATGGAGAGCTTTGAAAATAATTACTTACAATCACGGCTAAGAGGTTTCTTACCAGGAAGTGACAGCAGCCATGTGACTCTCTCTCTCTCTCACACACACACACACACACACACACACACACACCTCCTTTCCACTACTATGTCAGTAAACAGCCGCCTTCTTGTGGCAGCAGATTCTTCACATTCTCTCTCTGTAAGACGTAATTCACATACCTCTAACACTGTCTGGAATGTTACACACACATGGCTCAGAGCGCACACACACACACACACACACACACACACACACACACACACACACACACACAGGTTTGACACATACATGCTGCATTCCTTTCAATGTGCTGCTACACAACTCAAAAGAGCGGAAATTTGAATTCCAGCACAACAACTGAAACCAAGTGAAACTCGGTGAAATGTAATAGAGTTAGACTTAATGGAGCGAAGATCTTTTTGTGCAGCTCATACCAACAGGGAATACATTTTTGCACACACACGCAGATCCAAATGCACTATTAGGGGCCTTAAGAAAATCCATATCTAAAAGAGACTGTGAAAAAATATATCATTAGAAAAAAAGTCACACTTTTCAGTCCAAAACCAAAAGATGATTGGCTATTTGATTAATTGACTGGTCATATAAGCTCCATGTGACGATTACACACACAAATGCCTAAATCAAAACGAAAATCAAATTAAGATTTACAAGGCTGAACTTATAGGTTTCCAAAACAGTTTTTGGTAAGGTTTTAAGTTTTGGTTCCCAAATTACTTCCTGGTAACTTCCATAGGAGTTGAACATGCAGAAATGGGAAAGCATGGGGGAGCACACAATTCAACATGTTTTAAAAAAAAAAAAAGAGTTTCCGATAAAGAATGAATATTTACATATGTATCCGCGCACTCATTCTTTCAGGGAAATTCTCTAAAATTAGTACCATACTGCATTTTTTTTCTTACCAGGAACCTTTCTAGGAAACTATGAGTAAATAACAGATCTGTAAAATAATACATGACACTGTTTTTCTCTCTCTAACTCTTAGTGCTTATGTGTCATGCTGGTGAAGAGAGGTGAGTGTACAAAGGTGCGGAGTGAACAAAAAATGAAGGGGATAGTAATGGCTCTGCCTCTTCTGCTCAGAGTATAGTCCACGTCCTCAACAGCACACATCAAGAGCTCTTTAGAGTTATTTATACTGTGCATCCATATTTGGCAGGTTCATGTGAAACGGTCAATGTAATACATCAATTTAAAATACACAGTACAAAACTCACTGGATGTCAGCCTCACTAAAACAGAGATGAACCTATGATAAATACTGCAAAATAGCAAGAGATGCTTCGAGATGATGCATTAAACCCAGTCCTTGTACTGGAATAGAAAAGGTGCCAGTACTCTGAACCACTGGCTTTTATTTTAGGCAACATATGCTGGTATGACTACAGTACATCCCATGTGAAATCTATTTCTGTATGAAAATGCTTTGTGTGTAAGTTCACGACCAACCAAGGTGCAAATGAAACACATAATTGAAACAATGAAATACAGCCCATTCCCTTTAAATTTGCAACTTTAATATTCGATGTTTGGATTTAGGTTTAGTTTTTTTTAAGCTTTCTTTCCAAAAGTGAAATATGCATTACATTAGCATTAACTACTACCTTAAAAAACACCTCTAAAGCTGCGTCTTGTTTGTTTAATCACTCCACAAACCGTTAGTTTAAAAAAACGGTGTATGGTTTGAGGTGGAGTGGTGTGCTGTAACTATTTCTTGTAGAACAACAGTTCATTCATCCGCTCAGCACTTCAGCGGAGCGTCTCTGGCTATAGTGTGGGTTGCCACAAGCGGTTGGTAAGCACAGGTTTTAGTATAATGGTAGGCTTCTGTATAGTCAAGATGGCACCAAACCTGGCAACACACTGTGAGGAAAAGACTCCAGGAAGATGTGCCCAGTCACTGTGCATGACTGCTTTTTGCCCCTAAAAACACATTGTCATTGTTTCTGTTTTCTTTCACAGGCTAGTTTCTCAGTGCTTCCAGTCTTTTGTTAAGCTAGGCTAACCATGTCCTCCATACACACAGACATGAGAGTTGTATTGAAAGATAATAGGTATAAGGAGTATTTCTGAAAACCTTGAACTTTTTTTTTAAATGACACATGCTTTAGACTTGATTGATCCCAGGGGGAAAACAACTATTTGTACAAGTTACACATAAACCAGTTCAAAATGCATCATTAATTGGCCTTAAGAATAATTACAATGCCAAAGATAGCTACTAAATGCAGGGCCATAATGTTTGTGGAGAAGTTGTTTCTAACAATAAAAAGGTGGAGCTGCTAAAACCACCTATTGCCTCAGTGGGATCTGCAGCTAGCAACTGAAGCTTGCTACACGGAAGTGACAGCAGCAGCTGAAGTCAAGTTACCGTGGAGACACATTATTCCTTTTCAGTTTCTTTTTCCCCCTTTCGTTGTTTGGATTCCATTCACAACAAGGATGTTTCCAACACTGTTCTCTTTCTCTTTGGCTTTGCTAAGGTTTTAGTCAGAAGCTTACATGTATCTACATCATGCATTCACCAGGGAGGTAGCGGCGGCTATGTGGCCAACAGTCTTTTGTGTCAAAAAAGTTGTCTAACCTGTTCGGCAGCATGTTAACCTGAGCAGCAGTCTGCTGTGCACAGGCTAAAACTGAGTGTGTTTCTGTGTTTTATTCCCGGGTTGTTTTCATTATTGTGACTTCAGGAGGCCTTTTCTCATAGTGTAGCCGGAGAGTTGTAGAGCAGTGTGG